TATCTAGCAGAATGTGAATGTGATAATTATTTTTTAATCCTTTTTTTAAGCATAAGTTTGATGCTATCATCCTCAATAGACTGCTAAAAGTATTGAGTATGGTATTGGGTAATATCTGCAAGTCAATGTGTTAATTACTAAAGTTTATTTGCTTGGCAGTTGGCGATGTGCAGCTTTCTTGTGAGTTTCGCGTAAGAAAAAGATTTGTCCCATACCTTTTTACTCAGAGTTGACGTTAACCAAAACCAATAGGTTTATCCTCAATTGAGGATAGGGTAATTATCAAAACTCAATGGTACTTGCCCACTGGTTCCAATGTTGAACTTGGCAGTTGAAGAGAAGGAAGAAAGTGTACGTACAAAGCGAAACAGAGGATGGTCCTTGGTGTTCTTAGGCTGTGATTTCGAATTAAGACATCCATTGAATCAAGTTCTCCCTCTTGTCCATTTTGGCTCATTTCTCCCTTCCTTATCTCATCATATATGAGCGATAGACCAACGGATGAGAACAAAGTTGTTTTGTCCATAGTATCAAATAGCTAAAAGTCACAAGCCAAAAACCATGACTAAAAACACAGTTGTTTTGTGGGACTGAAATAATGAACGAGGGGATCTCTAGCTTCTTGCTCTTTCTTATAATTCTAATTATGGTACTGTTCTTTTCCTTATGTTTATTTGATACATGTCCAAGCTCTTCTTTTTCGTCATTCATCATATAGGACATTTAAAAAATTGTTGTTTGCCTTTTTTAAAAAGAAAAAACGGGATTGTATTGATGAATCAATTTTTTTCTTCACTTTGGATGGTTAATAAAAGAATGTTATTACTGCAGCAAGGAAAAATTTGAAAGAGGAAGATTTTACAAGGAAAGTGCAAAAGATGATATTTGAAGAAGAATACTAACGGATTCCTATTGCAATAGGTCTTCCTTGAATAGCAGATGAACCAGTGGCATAGGTCCAACAATTGTTACTTTGTAAGTTGTGGTATAAAGCTTGATTAAGTGTTGCTAACGAGGTTGCTTTCAATTTGTTTTGTTACTTGGTAAAGCCTCTGGTGTAGGAAGGTATCATGCCTATTGATGTGAAACTTCATAGTGATTTGCGAGCCATTGACTGAGCTGTCTTTTACCATTCAATGTCTTCTCTTTCACCTGTTTAAACCTTTATCTCAGTTTTTACCCATTGGGTCAGGAAAAAATGTACTTGTCTTTTGGGTCAAGGGAAAAAAATTATGCCGGGTGGAACACGGTTCTTCTGATAAAAGTGTAAAAGTTAAAAATCGAGAGTTATGATGGTTGCTCTTATGAAAGCGTAATAGCATATATAAGAGATAAGGCTATATATTTTGAATTTTCTTCCACCTGCTCAATAATTTTTTCTTAATTTTCAAATCATTTCAAGACAGTGTTTCTATTCTTGCTCTCCATTTCTCTTTTTTTTTTTTGTTTATTTTATGAACTGGAAGATCAAGATGATTTGTTGGGCTAACTTTGCAGCTTTGTTATTGACAAAACATAGTAGTTGTGTGCTTTAGATGCAAGGGAAGATGTCAAGTGAAAAAATGCATAATAAGAATGCAAGTGAATATAAGTAGTGAAGGGAGGTTTTTTTGGGTATTTCTTTTAAACTGATTAATTAATACAACTCTTTTTGGATGGCTTTTATAGTTGGTATCTATATTTATTTTCCTCCATTTTGAATGTTTTAACTATTGGACTAAGTAATTCTTATGTCTCAAAGATCACACGTTATCCAGATTCTCATGTTATAGAGTTACATGTTATCCAGATTCTTATGTTATAGAGTTACATTTCAGGAAGATATTAATAAATAAAAATAGATCCTTACACCAAATACAAGTAAATGAAAATATTGAACAAATGCTCCTCATACCAAATACTGCTAGGTACTATTTAAATTTGAACCAAATACTGTTTGAAATAAATATGGTGCAAGGGAGCAGAATCCTATCTTCTGTTATTAAGAAGACTGGTTTAACCAATTTAAAGACAATCAGATCGAGTGATTTACTTCATGGCTAATTTTGTGGTTCAGATACTACTAAGAAAATTAAGGCCACAAACCATGCATATAATATATGTTAAGCTTAATGAAAACATTAAAATAAATTCATCCCGTGCATCGCACGGGGAGAGGAAACTCTAGTTTTATTATTATAATAAAGTAGTATAATTGTTAAATCTATGATCCCGTTTGATAAGAAGTATTGGAATTAAGAATAGAGATTTGAATTGAAAAAATCTATTATTAAAAAGATATTTAACATAAAAGATCTATATATCATTTAAATAAAAATCAAAGTTAAGCCTAGCCATTTTCCCATTCAGGATGGCTCCTCTCTATTTTTACTGTTTTATGAACAGTAATTGGCTTGTTGTGAATAGTATCAACTCTTATTGGGCTTTGTGCATTAAGTATTTTTGTTTAGTCCTTATGTTTCTTTTGATTATGCAAGACTTTTTTTCCTCTCCTTAAATTTGAATTTTAAAATTTCAAATTCCCTCCACTTACATTCCTTTATTAGCATCACCTGTTCCCTCTCTTTCAGTTTGCAATTTTTTTTTCCCCCTTTCCAGCCATATACTCTCTTTTTCTCTTCATCTTTCTCTGCGAGCTATGCTAATGGGACTCCAAACCTCACCTTCATCATCCTTTTTCCAGCCGACCCTTCTCATCTTCTATTCTTTTTTCCTCCTATTCTTTCCAGTACAAGTAAAGGGGAGAATAGAGAACAGAGGGCTTTGAACGTGATGCTTCTAAAGTAAAAAAGGAAGGATGGGATGTAGAGTTTCATCAAAAGGTTTGTAACTTTATTTTCTGTTGGGTCACCAATTGATTCGATGCTTAATAGTTTTCTGTGTTTGGCGTGGAAATTCAACATCAAGAAGTTACACTTGTTGAAGCTGAGACAAAGAAAATCAGGTAAGAATACGAGCGCAAAGAGAAGCAAGTTGAAGTTCAGAAAAAGATGTAACTTACTTTCTACTTTGATCTACTTCGGCTTTTTTCTATTTCTTCCTTCTTGATTCTTGAATTCAAAATTTTCCATCACTTCTTCCGTTGAGAATTGTTTTAGCAAGCTATTGGACATAACTCACAAGAGAAAACTTTCATCGCTTTTTAAGATTACATGATGCATGGTACGATTTTTATTGCAACGATAGCCTTAGATTTACTTGCAAAAACTGGCATGATGATTCAATTTGCTTTGGTGCAAAGAGATCAAGGTTATCTCTCTCTCTCTCTTGCTCTCTCTTCTATCATATTAGCATTTTCTTATTTGTTGTTTTCCTTACTTTTTATTCATCACTGCCAGCGTCTTTTAATATCATAGAAGGTTTATATTGGTATTATATGATTATATGATGGATGCTATTTTTTTGTGCGGAGATCTGGTGTTTATTGTCACAGAGTATATACAATTAATTTTGTTAATGTCCACAGTTTTAATGGTGCCTTTGTGACTTTGTCTACCATGAGTCTTTCCTCTCAGTCTCTGACAAGTTTTATTGCTACAAGCAAATGTAAAATGAAGTTACAACTGGTAGCCAAATGTCAACCTTAAAATTCACGTGAAAAAGGTAATAAGCAAGACATATTTGTTAAAGTGACTGTCCTTCAGGCCAAGAAAAAAGTGACTGTCCTAAACGGTGAGGGAAAGATCTGACTAAGCAAGTGGTACTAGCATTATACTTTTTCTTTTCTTGCAGCAGTACCTTTTAGCATGAATTCTATTGGTATGTTAACTTTATTTTATGACACAAGTAATCGGAGGTTTGGATCATGCATTATTCTTTGTAACTTTATTTCTTGCACTTGCACGCCAAATAGATGAGGTTGGTAGAGTGCAGAGAAAAACACATCGTTTTAAGAGATTCAGGCCCATGAAGGAAGGCTGCAAATTTAAGCAAAAGAACTTATTTTTATGATCTTCTAAGTTCTTTAGTTCTTTTATTGTTAAATGCTATTCTCAATATGCTATGCTTGGCTAACTTATTTATATGTTGCCCGATGCTTGAATCTTCTAGATTGAAATATGGGGAAGGATAGAACACAGCATGTTATATATTCCTCCGGTCCTTAATATAGGACTCATTAGAAGGTTGATCTTGGTCCTAAATATAAGACCATTTTCTCATATTTTTTTTATTCTTTCCTAAATTACCCCTATTAGATAATTAAATACCACAATAATACTCATTATTCATTAATAATACATCTATATATTTTATAAAGTGAATGAATACTTATTACTTATTGATTCCACACAAACATCAATTCTACCATTTTATATTTTTTAAAAATAATTTAAACATTAAAAAAAATATTTTCATACAAATACCCATTCAAGGTAATTGGATTTTTTACCTCCAAGGAATAGCATAATAATAATCGTACTATCTATTTTCTTTGTGCCCAGAAAATATAATCTTCTATTTATATTTTACCCAATCAAACAGAAAACTTAACTACGTTGTATCGGATGGTGCGTGAGCCAGGAGAATTTGGACGACGTGGTACCGGAGGAGGCGAGTTAACCAGACTAATTTTTTTCAAATGTCAGTTTCTTTTTAGAAGTGTAAACGGAGGGATATTTTGGGATATCTATATTTATTACTTAACTTAACTACCATCCTTAATTTAATCAAAATAGTCAAAAGGGTCCTATATTAAGGACCGGAGGAGTAATATGTTTTCCTTGATAGGTGTCTGTTAAAATGCATGTGACAAAATTTTGTGTAAGTGGTGTTTTTGTTGGGTATATCCTCTCTATTCTGTTTTTTGCTTGCTAAAGTGGTGCGACAATTTGTAATCTTTGATAGTCCGGAAGAAAAGATTATTGAGTGAATGTAATAATCTACGGCTAATAAAGAAGGTCTTGTCTAAAGAGTCTTATTGAGTGAATGAGGTTTGTTTTGATGGATGCATAGGGGGTTGGTGAATTGAGTTCGTTTTCCCCTCTGTTACAACATGAACCATGTCTGTGGTATTTCTGGTAAATTTGACTTCAAACCTTTGTTCTTCAGGAGGAATTAAGAAGGAGTTGCAAGGAAAAAGGTCACCCATTATATTTTTTGATTTCCTTTACTGTTTTATTCATGCATCGTTTCTTCAATACAATTTTAGCTTAATGACAATGGTTTAATGTTAACTTTGGTTACAGGTTGCTGATAGACTTTACGCAGAGAAAAAAGCTTAGTCCAGAATGTTTGCATGGAGTTCTCGGAGTTGTGGCACATACTGTTGCTGTGCTATGAAACAAAATGGGGATGACTGCTAGATATCATCTGGTCAAAATTTTCTCATTTTCCGTTGCAAGCTTAAATTGTCTTTTAAAATCATCAGGTATAATGTTAATTAGCATTATTGCATTTCTTCTTTATGTATAGAGCTATGATGGGATAATCTTTCTTCTATCAATTTTCGTTGCTTAGGATTCGAACTTGCATACCTTGATGTGCCTTGTATATTTTCTGATGGAATGTGTTTCAATCTCAGGTATCAGATATCAAATCAGTCATGCCCAACTTTCATGGTTTCTGTTTTTGGTGTTGAGTATGTTAAAAATTAATACGACGTGAATCGTCGTCTGTAACTGTAACTTGAATGTTGGTTCATGTAACGAGGAGACAAATATATGCTAAAATTCCAAAGACGCCCACTCGAAGTGAAATGTTCAAGAAGAAATGGTGTTGAAGGATACGGATTTGGAGGGTTGGAAGCAACAAAATATGCCCACATAAGACTCTTATATGTAAAATTTCAATTATATTGCAACCTCTCATTGTAACCAAATGCATTGACAGTTTACCATTCGAGTCGAATAGGACTGTGTGAGGTAAAATTTCTTTATAAATGTGATATAGTTGTTTCCATATCTGCCATTTATGATCGGAGGTTTGGCTGATAATGTTTGATTTTAAAAAAATAAAGGAATAATTAATATATAAGTCCTTATAGTTTCAATTGGTTTTTAATCAGGTCCCTATAATTTTTTTTCTTTTTATTAGGTTCTTATACTTTCATATATTTTTAATCAAGTCCTTATAATTTTTTTCTTTTTATCAGGTCCTTATTGTTTTACTTTGTTTTTAATTAGGTCCTTGTAGTTTTTATTATTTATTCTACAAATAATAATATTTTAAAAATAATAAATTATTGTAACAATCTTATGTTAATATTCTTTTAAATTTTTAGTTAAACAAATATATTATTTATTTTCAATTTGAATTTTTATAATTATAAAATTAAAATTATAATAATAAATTTTTCTAAAATTAAAATATGATTATAAATAATTTATATTTAAGTATAATTATTATTCTAATTATTTATTAATTACTAAATGATTATATTAATTATTTTGTCCAATTATATAATTATCAATTTTAAAATGAAATTAATTTTAAAGAATAAAGTTAATAAATAATTTTTCAAAAACTACAAAGCACCTAATTAAAAAATAAGTGAAACTATAATGACCTGATAAAAAGAAAAAAATAGAAGGACCTAATTAAAAACATACGAAAGTAAAAGGATCTAATAAAAAGAAATAAATTTATAAGGACCTAATTAAAAATCAGATGAAACTATAAGGATCTGGAGATTAATTATCCCAAAAATAAACATAAAGTTATTGAATTGGCAAATTGAGATTTAGTTATTTCATGATAATTATAGTACCATTGTTTATACATGGTGTCTATTCTATTGTGTTGGCGTCTTTGTGCTGATGGAGATTATAATGAATTGGGCTTAATGATTAGACTGAAGTGAATTCTTCCCGTGCATCACAAGGGGGAGTTAGTGCTAGTTGTTTGATATATAGGAATAGCTAAATTCATGTATATGGTATTGGGAAATATATCATGGGAGGAAGTGGTATTTCCTAATTCTATTTCTGTGAGTTTGCCTAATATCATATAACAAGTAATTACTTATGTTAAATATTATTGTGATAATTTTTCTCAATTGTAATCTTAATCCATATTTTTCATTTTTAATGCTCCGTACCAAACGAGACCTAAGTTTGAACAAAGCTAAGGCTTTATTTGGTACTTTGGTTCAATGGAGTATAGGAGAGGGGAGAAGAGGTATTTAAATAATTCTTATTTGATTTTTAGGAGTAGGGGGTGGAAAGCTAATTAAAAATTTGTATGATAGGCCAATATATACATAGCAAACTTTGGGTTGTGTTTTTCATTCATCGTGATTCATCTGATTTATATTCTAACTCACGTCATCACAAATGTGGGAAGGATGAGTGAGTTTCGTCTGTGATATATATTGGAATATTGCAGATAATAAACAGAGTGTACAGTAGACTCAAATTGATGTTCCTGACCATCAAAGCAAACAAAAAGGTAACTCTGCCATTATATCGGTCATAACCATATAAAAGCTACTTTCTCACCGTCTCTAAAATTGCTGGGGGAAAATCTGTCTATGCTCATCAATTCGAGAATCCGACGGTAAAATATTGAAAAGAAAAGGAATAACTGCATGAATACGCACGGGGTGAAGAGAAGGAAGGTAGTGGTGGGGACAAAAAGAGAGTCAGAATTGCTTATTGCAGCCAAAAATGGAGTAGCTGAGATAGTGAAGATAATTTTGAGGGATAAGCCTGGGGCCATCTAGCAAACCAACTCTCAGGGCCGAAATGTATTGCATGTGGCTGTTGAGTTCCGGCAACCCCATATATTTGAGATCCTTAGGAAAGAGAAGTCATGGGATGTCCTTATTCACTCAGGGGATTTTGATGGCAATAATACATTGCACATAGTAGCAAAGTCCAACTTGCAGATTCAGGGCTCCAGCGCCTTGGAGATGCAAGATGAAATCAAGTGGTACGAGGTAACCATATGTGTAGATGTTATATTTATTTTCCACTCACTTATACATGTATTAGTTATTCTTGTAATTAAATAATCAAATTTAACTACTCTCACCATCGAATTTGAATTGCAGCATGTGAAATCATTGCTGCCATCCTACCTCATGGATCACAGTCCTAACCAACCAAGAAGGTGAAACTCCGGCAGAAACCATCCTCAGAAAGCATAAAGATCTTGTCCAAAAGAGTGATGAATGGCTCAGTCGTACTTCTAAATCCTGCTCAGTGGTGGCTGCGCTGGTCGCCGGAGTTGCCTATGCAACATCCAGCACCGTACCGGGCGGCAACGATGACAAGACTGGCAAACCAACCTTAGAAGGACGTCCTGGATTTGATATTTTCGCTCTCTCTGCGCTAATTGCCCTCAGCTTCTCCGTCGCTGCACTCATCATGTTCCTTTCTATACTCACCTCTCGAAAACGTCCCGCTGATTTTATGAAAAAATTGCCAGTGAAACTTCTTCTGGCCTTAAGCTCATTGTTTGTATCTATTATCTCAAGGTTCATCTCTTTCTGTGCAGCGCATCCCTTTGTGCTTGAGGACAAGTCCAAGACATCAGTACTCCCTCTCTATGCTATCATTTGTCTTCCTGTTTCCTTCAAAATTGTAGAGTTCCCGCTTTACATGGATCTTTTCAAAGGCATTTTCATGAAAGTTCAACAGCCGTACGATCTGAGACGTATTTAGAGGAGGGCAGGGGGATACTGGTTCAAAAAAAATAAAACGCTATGAATTTTGGAGAAATTTGGCCTTCCCCCTCCTAAATCCATCAAGGATATGTGTTTGCTCATGATTATATGTAGCTGGCCTGGGGACTCTCTCCCCCTCTCTTTCGTGTTCCACATCTTCCTTTCTTTTGTTCCCCCTCCTAGTTATTACTCCTCCGGTACTTATTATAAGACCCCATTTGACTTTTTATTTGGTCCTAAATATAAGACCCCAATCCATTTTGTCTCTTATATTTATGCATTTTTTTTCAAGATAATCCTTCTAATAATGATAGTTTTAGCCAATATACTTAATTAGTAAGGATATTTTAGGAATGACAACACTTATTTATTATAAATAACCAACTTAACTATAGGAAAATGGGCCAGTCCACCCTTGGTGGATTGGACCCAAGCCCAATTACAATTCGGGGTCCTGGTGAAAATAACAAGAAATGTGGGTCATTAGTTGTAATATTCCCCTTCTTGTTTTTGGAACCGCACGGTTACGAGGAATAGATAAGTGGAGGTAATTACAAAAAGGAAAAAACTGCCCCCATGTATAATTTCAGTTTTTCTTTCCTCTCCATAACACACCAGCGGGTTCATTTTTATTTCATTCAGAAAAAACACTTCCTCCCTTCGGCTCTCTCTCTCTCGTGGTGCATTTGCTGTGAAAACATAGATCCGACTCCGTCACCGTGATCAGACCTCCGCGTGGCAACCTGATTACATTGCAGACTCCAGGTATGCCCGAAAACCTTCATTGGTATCAGAGCAAGGCTTATATTTTTTTCTTCCGCTGCCCGAGTCCTTCTGCGTCTGCATTTTTCGGTTTGGCATTTCAGTACACCTTAAGTGATTTGCTCTCAGATATTAAGCAAATCCTCCATTTTACTTTCAGTATGATAGTTTTTGTGTCTTATATTTATGTTTAGATATATTGGGTTGCTTCTCTGCCTCCATGAAAATCGTTTCATGCAGTATATCAGTTCGGCCGTACGGTTTTCGTTTTTGGGTCTCTGGAAAATCAAGTTTTTTGGTTTCAAAAATTATCCCATTGCGTAGAGCTCGAAAAAACGAAGAAAATGATATAAAGTACGCTAAAAACGGACACCGGACGGCGAAGATATGGAGGAGAGAAGAAATCGGGTCCGACGGGTCCGTCGGACCCGACCCGGTTGCAGAAGCCGGGTCAAGGCGACCCGGCTGGAGGTTGAAGGTGACCTCCAGGGGCCAAAACGGCGTCGTTTTGGCCCCTCCTATAAAAAAAAAAAAACAAGAAAAGGTTTATTTGGGCTGGAGGCAGGATCCAGCCCAGACCCCAAAAAAAAAAATTGTGAAGGGATCCGGTTGGGCCGAAATGGACCCAAACCCAACCGGTCCAAATACTTTTAATAAAAAAAAAAGGGGCTGTCCAAAAAAAAACGAATTTTAAAAAAAAAATTTTTGGACCAAGCAGCACCACGTGGCGCGTTCTGCCACGTGGCACCCCACCTTGGCACGTGGGGACCACCACCTGACAGGTGGTAGCGCGTGGAATCCGCAGGCGCGGCGTGTGTCGCCTGTGGCAAGCTGCATGGTGGCGCGTGAAGTACACGCGCCGACAGGGCGAGTGGGAAAAATATTTTATTCAGTTTTTCGCTAATTTTTCCTTCTAGGGGCGCGTGTAGGCGCGTGGAGGGTCCGTTTGAAGTGCAGTTTGTCTCTAAAAATCCCTAAAATCAAGATCTTTATTTTGGTATATAATTTGATAATTTTGGAGACAATTAAGGATCTATTTGTGAGTATTTTCAGTGTATTTTCTGGTATTTTCATGGGGAAATAAATTCCAGAATATTCAGAATAATTTAAATTATTTTGTTATAGGTGAAAATGAAGCAAGAGGCTTCTAGTAGCACTGAAAATATCCAAGATGGTTCATTGGAATACTCATACATGGATAATGCAGTTCCAGAATATGAGCCAGAGGATGAGGATCCTAAAGAGGACCCTGAAAAGGTTCCTCAAGAAATCCCGGAGGAGTTAATGGATTCTGGACCTGAGTCAGAATCTTTATTTCCCACTGAACCCCTCCGTACCGAACCTTATTTGGTCTGTAATGATTCGCTAGATCTTCCCAATAAAACCGAAGTAGAGGAAGGCGAAGAGGTGGATCAACCCTGTACCCCTGCTTTAGCTATGAGAATAGCTGAAAGTGATGCAGCTAAATTGACAAACATAAAAGGCATCAATGGTGTGCTCGCTAGCTACGTTCATTACATGACCGATAAGAAGAATACAGAATTCTACCTTAGAGTCATAATGGAGTACATAAGAGCAATAAGAGTTAGAGGCGGACCTAAAGGCAAACCCATAAGAAAATCTTACTGGATTTGGGCCATAGAGCTAGTGTCCTCCTTTATGAACAAAACGCGCAAACTTAGAAGCATAAGAAAAGCAATGCTTGATTACCTTTATGTTCATATCAAATGATGTAATATTTGTATTCACCATGAATTTGTGGTTTCATGCATTGTAAACAGACTAAGTATGTTATTTCATTTAATGAAATTACTTGAATTATTGTTGTATGATTATTTGTGAATATCATGTGTATGCCTTTTATAAGTGGGAGCTTTTAGAAGATAAGACTTCTAAAGGTTACATTTTTTTTTTAAAGTGCTTATATAAAATCCTTGATAGGACATGATGATTGTTGCTAGTATCTGTGTGATGGGAGGTACTAACGTATTCTCCTGATCATGGATCTAGTAATTTCATTATTTACTGATTGAGGATAATATAGGCACATTACATTGTATACTTCATTGTGCTATATAACTGAAATGTTCTTTGGTTCGGTTCTCTTTAAAGAGAACATAGATTAATGTGGGATAGATTTGTCACAGAACTAAGAATGGCAACCAAGAACATAATTGCTGAATTGAACAAGGGAGAAAAGCTTAACGGGGACAACTGGGACATCTGGCACCGAAAGGTCCAGTATATCCTAGAGGAACAGGATGCGATAGAGCCTCTCACCACTGCTATGGTTGAACCTGAGGCTGGCAACACAAACCAGCACAGGAGAGACCAAGAGGCATATCTAACCTGGAAAAGAAGAATAGCATAGCAAGAATCACGCTTTTGAGCTCCATGGCTGATGACCTGATGTGTGAGTTTGAGTCGCACAAAACTGCACAAGCCATGTGGATAGCATTGAAGGATAAGTTTGGCGGAGTCTCTACGACCGAGCTTAGAAGGTTGACAATTAAGTTTGATACCTATAGGCTCAAACCAAACAATCCTATGAAGCAACATCTGAGAGAGATGGCCAGTATGATCTGAGAACTGAAGGAAGCTGGACATAATCTGTCTGATGAGCAGCAAGTGCAGGCTGTCATCAGGTCGCTCCCTGCAAGTTGGGAGCACATGAAAGTCAACCTAACCCACAATGAAAACATCATCACTTTTAACGATGTAGCTAAGCATCTGGAGCTGGAAGATGAACGTCTAGAAGCTTACAAGAGCTCTGGACAGACTTATTTAACTGAGGATGCTGGTACTTCCCAATCTAAATCAAATTTCAAAAAGGGCAAGAAGCCCCAAAAGAAAGGGAAGAAGGGCGGTCCTCAATTTAAAAAGGGCAAGAAACAATTTAAGAAGAAGGGAAAGAAAGGCGGGAAGAAGAAGCTAGACCTGAAGAAGGTCAAATGCTTCGCCTGCCAACAAATGGGCCATTTCGCACGTGACTGTTCCAAACAGGCTGAAAGCGAAAAGGTATTAGTGAATTATGTGAATTCACATGTTTCATATGTTTCTAGTACTGTTTTTCTAACAGAACCTGTTTCTTCTTCTTGGATTATAGACTCAGGCTCCACAGACCACGTAAGCAGGGATCGGGGATCCTTCGTGGAATACCGTCGATTGCCGTATCAAAGCAAGTGTGACAGACTCAATTATTTTTACATATTTTGATATCTTTTATATGAGTTTTGTCAACTTAATTGGTTCCTTTTGGCCTTAATTGATTATTAATTGGTTTGATATGTTTTATTTTGAATTATTTTTTTATAGGGGTAAAATTGTCATATTTTGGTTTAATTGTGACTAATTAATTTTTGAGGACAATTAATGCTACCTTATCTTTGAATTTTTGCTTGCAGGTATTTGGAAGATTTTGAAAATAAAAAAAGAAAAAAAAAAGAAAGAAAAATAAAACAAAAAAAAGAAAAAGAAAAACTAAAATAATAAAAGGGGGAGCAAAACGTTGCGTTTTGCCCCCTCCCCACTAAACCTATTATTGATATGATCTTCAACACGGGAGGCAGGAGAAGACGCCGAACGCTGGAGAAGAAACGGAACACACACGCGCGACGAGACGAACCCACGAGCTGGCGGCGGAAAACGAATAGAAAAAACAAACCAGCGGCGTGAGGGAAGAGGATTCAGCGTGAGCTTCCACAGCAAAATCACACCCCAGCATTCATCTTCTTTGTTCTTCATGGCTGAACCGAATTGGTTTGTTGGAGCTGTGGTTGTGATGGTTAAGAGTAACTAAATCTTCTAATTCTCTAGAGCAATGGTTATGGCTTGAACTTAGAGCTTCAAAGGGGAGTTTCAACTCTTCTAATCTTTACTTCTTTCATTATAATTGTGATTTCTAGGTCTTAGAATGAATTTTATAATGTTTGAATGGGCTGTGATGATTTATATTTGCATTGAGATTAGTTGTAGTTGTTAGAATCTTTGATTAGCATTTAACATTATGCTGTAATTAGCTTTAATTTCTTTACATTGTACTGGGTCAGACTATGTTTTGAAATTATTGTGAACATTTAGTGGTAATTCAAGGTGGCTTGGTTATTGGACTAAAAATGTTAATTGCTTTTCTTTGATTTTCTTTTTGGCTAATTGTGCTGAAACAGTTTAATTGTGAGTAATTAATATGCAAGGTGGCTTGGTGTTGATTATTCTAATTAAACCGAGTCTGGGGGG